CAAGAATAAAATCGATTATTTCAAATGATGATTACATGCCAAAATCATATTATATTTAATCTGTCTCAAGCAAATGGAGTTTTATTTTAAATCCAATTAGCCAGAAATGATTTGATCCCAATGCTGACTGTGGAATTCAATGGAAACTCCTCAAGCGAAGCTTGCTAGACCTCCAGACATCCTCAGAACATTTTTCTTTGTAAGGAAACCAACACTCCTTCAATACCATTCACCTTGCTGGCTGCACATAAAAATTTCAAGTATTTTATGTGGAAGGCAATAAATTCGAGCATAGCTCACACAACGTTACTTCCGCTATTTATTGCCCTTTGCAGCAACAGTTCCCATATGCTGGCCTCCGATTAGCCGATATCTCAGGAGTTGCCTCCAATATCGCTCCAATCCCGCCTTATTTATTGAAATTTTCGCTACTTTATGTCGCGCAGCTTCTGGCTAAGATTTCAGCCATTTCGATTGTGTCCTTGAGAGCTTCTTACATTGGCCAAGGCCGAGTCCTTGACCCCGGAGGTGGGTGGAATCGCCCCATTTGGGTGCAGGCACATCCAGACAAATTGTCGTAAAAATCAGCCGTAATCGTCAACATCAACCCAGTCGATTGGGCGTAGATTCCCAGGCAGCCGGAATGGGGGCACTGGCTCCGAAAAATTGCACTCACTTGGCCTAATAGAGAAACCGCAGTAAATTCTGGTACCATTCATTGTGCAAATGGCACCACGTCTGTATTACCCTGATCGATTTTTCTGTGGCTTAGGAAAATCACGTTTCTGTTTTCCCCCAAAACACATACTTACAAATTTGGCTTAAACTCTTTAAACCATAAATAGTCGTAGGGGCTTCCTCATTTGCCATCGGCTACAAAGGGAGGCCCACCCTCGTCTAATGGGTTGTTGTTATCTATTGCCGAATTTCTTGCACGTCCTCAGGTGAAGTGCGATGTTTTAGCCAGTTTGCAGGGAACACTATGCATGAAGAGACAGAATGGAAAATGGGTAATCTATAAATTGGGCAGCAAGTTAAACCAGAATTGAATATTACTTAGTACTTAAAGGCACAACTTTCTACTACTTACAATATATGTAATAGTATAATAAAACTGCATATATTGATGTGTATTTAAGCTCTAGTAATTCGATCTCAAAAAATTCTGGTATTTGAAGATTTACTCACCAAATTTCCGCTTTGCAGTGCAGTGTAATTGAAATGGTGCGCCGTTCGCGACACGAATTCAATTGGAAAAGTAAACAAATCAGAAAATGGTAACAGCGCGACATTAGCGCAGTCCCATCGCCAAAAGGTGTCCAAATGGCATGAAACTATGTCGACGGCTTGGTTCCTGTCGATGATGTCGGGCCTCCTGGCTCCCGGCTCCTGCCTCCTGGTCGCTCCAAGCTGCTTTCGAGTCCTGCGAGTGCTGCTGCGGCCGAGTCCTGCCGGAAGCCAAACGCAAAACATTTCTAATTTCAGCTCTGATGTTGATGAATGGCGATGGACAAGAGCAGGTGGCAACGGCAGCGGAAGCGGCCAAAACGCGACAACAAGCCACCCATCCGCACAATCACACAATCACCCAATGACCCAATGAACCCCCACAAGAGCACCTATCCAGCCACGCAAGTGAATGGGACGCAGGAGCGAAGGCGACTCCGACGGGTGGCCAAATGTCAATTGTCGGGGCCAAATCCTGCCGATGGGACTTCAAATGGGACTGGTGTTGAGAGTGGGGCAGTGGCAGTGGATATGGCGAATGGAAAGACCATTTGTTCAGGAGGCCTCGCGGTGACGTGTCGCAGCGTTTTTAGCTTAAGGAGTGCACGGTTACAAATAAGTGCCTGCATTTCAAATCGAAGCCCCCTTAAATGTGATCAATTGAAATGAAACGTTTGAGAAATTATTGTCACTCAATATATATTACTGCGCTTGTAAATCGATAAAGTAAACTAGTTAAAATTACCCCTTTCAAGAGAAGAAAAATAACAAAGCGTTGGAACTCGCAGTTTTTCAACGTGTATGCCTGGCAGCAAATGTTGCTCGGATGTCTTGAAATGTTCGCATGGCTTTGGCACGCATTGTTGGTTGGCTATGTTATGGAATTTGGCTGGATTCGGACTGGAGCTGGGATTCGTTTTCGGATTCGGACTCAGGCTCCAATGCGCTGGCGGCAGCGAGTGCTCCGCTTTTGTGGCCCCCGGTCTCCTGTGGATACTCGCACTCGTATCGCAGATAGACTCGGGTTTGTCGGCAGCAATTACCGATGATCTGGAGTGTTTTTTATCGTCACGGCTGTTATGACAACGGTTGGCACGTATTCCCACGTCCAACTCATCGCATTCAATTTGCTTGATTTCATTTCCGTTTCGCCTTGGCTCGGCCTTCGTTCGAGTTCCTTTTTCTGGGGCCAAGGAGGTTGGGGAGGTTGGGGAGGTTGGGGAGGTCGGGAGTCCCAAAACTGGTCATTCGATGGTCGGGCCAAACTATTTCCATTTTGATTGGGCGCCCTGCTGCCAGCGGACTTTGATTTCTCTCGATGCCGCTGCAATTGCAGCTTAAGTGTGCAATTTGATTTGATTTTTGCCCATTTTTTGACAGGTCCTCGAGCTGCTGGGCTTCAGTGCGCTCTGCTCGAAAACCGAAAATGTAGCACCAAATTGACATTTTGTTTAATATTCTCGAGTGTGTTTTGCCCTGTGTTTTCTGCCCGCCGGGGCAGCTCGTTGTCGTTGCAGGCAGGATGTGTGTGGTGGTGCCGATTGCGATTGTGTTTGTGTTTGTGCAGGGCCAGGATATGAATTGCCGGGCTATTGGCGGAGAATTGCACTGGAAGTGGGCCACGTGCTCGGCCTGGCGGTGCATTCGGCCCTCTGCCTGCACAATTTAAGGATAAATGCTGGCGAAAAAGGATGTTATCGTGTTAAATACGGTGCATGTCACGGCATTAACTTTAAGGCCAATGCTTGTGTAGATTTTGAGCTTATCAATCATATTTAGCCCAGTACTGTCAATTAAATGGCGGTGTAGCACATTTTGAGTCACGACACACGTATATCATCTCCATTTTTCTATCAAACACATAATGGTTATTTAGAGGGACCCAAATTATTGAATTTAAGGAAGCCATTGCGAATTTCGTCTTAGGCCCAGCAGATCGAAACCGTATAAATGGAAAGCAACATTAAGAGAAATGGCAGCTGAATTCCTGGTCGACCCCAAGCCTCAACTATTTCATTTCATTTAATTTGATTTATTTCCGGTGTCTTTATTCTGTTTTGCTGTTTGCCAGTGTGTTGTGCGGCTTCATTTTGGGCTAAGAGGAATGCAGCTTAGTGGCCATCCACTTTCGGTAGCAGTTCATCTTCAAATCCAAATTCAGTCCTTGAAACGCCACGTCCTTGTGCCATAAAGTCTACTCTGAATAGAGGCGAAAAAAGTGCGAATAATATCCAAAAGATTAAAGCCATAAATTTGGGGCATAAGAAAGGGACACAGATTTTTCGAAAAGAAGAAAAGGAAATATAAGTGGGACTTGTAATTAAGTTTAATTACTTATAGTTTAACCTAGCCAGAAAGCAAACCATATATGATATAGTTTTAAGATCCGGTATGTTCAAAATTATATACTACCTTCGAATAATTATACTACATGTGATGGAAAGAAGTCTTTTTAGATAGTTTCTTGCAGATTGCTTTTAAACTGAGAGGAAACGGACTTGGATACATTCCGATGTGGATACTGATAAAAAATATATCTATATTTACATGGATGTATCCCTTCCGATGTGGATATTGATCAAAAATATATCTATATTCGGGTGATATATACCCTTTGCCTTAGCCTTGATGAGGCTTTTTTAAAAGTTAAAAAATGGTTCAAAATTTAAGAGTGAAAAGTATTTAACGTACATTAAATACTGTTATACATTTGCATATGTATCGTTGATATGCGCTGTTGGCACAGTGTCTTCCCTTTTTATATCAACAGCAAATAAATTAACCTTAAATCGCACGCAAAACTGCCTCCACAGCGAAAAACTTTCAATGCTTTCTTTGTGGGTTCCTTCGGAATTATTGGGGATAAAATCAATGCCATCAAGCCGACTCACAGGCACACCCACACATTAACAACTGACTTTTGGGCCGCTTAATATCATCACGCATACGCCAGGTATGCACACACGAACAGTTCCGCCAGCTCTGCAATCTTTTGAAAAGGTTTCGGTTAAAATATTTTACATATTTTTAACGCACAAAGTATGTTGAATGCAGAGCCTGGAGGCAGTGAGTTCTTCAAGGATGCTGTGTAGTTGAGGAGGTGGCTCTGGAAGTTAAAGGAGTGGTGAATCCGACGCCATTGGATAATTCGCGGGAAAATGGCGACGCGGCTGTGCGCCTGATATTTTACAATTTCATTATGGCTCCCTTTAGTTTATTGATTTTGTATTTCATGAAATATGCATAAGCTTTTGGCATTCAGTTCACATGTGTATGTGCCTTTACTCATTGTGAATAATTCAGTTCCGTAAGGTATCAAATTGGATTGGGTCTCATTAACCGTGTTTTGAACAGCCTAAAAGTTTGCTGTTAAAACCAATTAACCACGTGGGCAATCGGAACTGTACCCGAAATCTACTCTCATTTATTTTTCAAAAATATAAGATGATTAGGTGAGGCACGGGTGTTACAATTGGAGTGGCAAAAATGGTGTGGGAATAGCTATTTAATAAGAAGATAATATAGAAGAAGAAACATAATGAAAATAATAATCTTCCGGGTAACAGTTTTGGGTGGTTTGTGCGCGGTTAGCAAACTTTTGAAACAAGTTTTCACCAATTATGCGTAACTAGAAGCATACTTAATATAAATCTGCTATTTGGTTGGACATACGAACGCATCTCGTACAAATAACTGGTATAATGAAACTAAAAATCATGTTTATTAGGGCTGTCTATATTACAGCAGGCTTTCCATTCAACTGCAAACCAAAACTGAGTACACACGTGTTCTGATTCACTCGTTATTTTTGTTGAACTTCGCGATGTCAATTGTGCGGCAAACGCTTCTTATGGGGGACGATGAAAAGGAAGGGAATAAGTCGTACAGGAATGTATTTTCCACCCGCTATACCACCACCATGGGGATTGCATTTGGGAGACAAACCACTAAGTTTGATATTCCAATTCACGATCATCGAGCCATGCTGGACAGCAATGTAAAACGTCACGAAGACGACGCGCGTTTTGTTGAAGAGTTTGATGACAATGAGGACGCTAGGTTTTTCAAGTATAAGCCGCTGTTTGACGATTTAGATATTTGTCCCAAGGATCCCAGCTATTCCAAATTTAAGTGTCCCATGTAAGACCCAATTAACTTACGTTGATATGTTAACTGAGTTAAAAACTTCAGGGAAATTGACTGCAAGGAGCGATTGAAGAAAGATACAGTCAGATATAATAACCAGCTTATGAATGAAATCTCAAAACTGATTGATTACCAAAAGAACGCTCTGGAAGCCGCGTATTTCGTTAAGTAAGGGTTTTTTGTTTAAAGTTACGCATATTTTAAAATATGTTCGAAACAGGGTGATGTCATACACTACTCTGTGGCCACCTTATCATAGTAATCTGGAAATAGCCAACACAAGCCGCACTTTTTACCGACTGTCAAAGAAGGAACAGACCCGGTACAACTTTATTATGTCCCATGATTTCTCCTAAAAACTTTTAAGAAGATTTATTTATCAAATGAAACATTCTGGAGAAATTACGAATGAATACCGATATATATCGATAAAGGCTAAATTATTTATGACAATTATGCGTAGCCGAACTGAAAGATAAAATAAATAACAAGTTTCGCAGTCAAAGATTTGCAGCTCGAGTCATTTATTGCAATGCAAAATGTCACAAAGTTCGCCCAGACTACAACGAGAACGGAAACGGAATATTTTTGCAATTTTAATTTATAGAATAGTTGGTAGTTTGTTTTGCGCACTCCAGAAGCGAGGAGCAGGCCAAAACAGAAACATAAATCGAGCGACAGAAATATTCCGAGTGTTCTTAGGTACATTCGATCTGCATAAGCAGTTTCCGCTTCCCGGCGACTCATTTACATTGCCAGTGTTGGGCACTTGGATGTTATGCAAGCCAGGAGTGACTTTTTGGATGGCAGCTCCAGGTTGAGCTGCAGCCCAGGTCCGCACTCGCTTCCGCATCCGGATCTGCCGTGTCCGAGGCTTCATCAACGCAGCCGCGCTGTGGTCGGTCTGTCATTTACATTAAATATTAACCCAAAATGCTGATAACCCGCACACATTACAAAACGCGCCGAAAAGGGAAGCGGAACTAACGGAAGTGGCTGCGAAAAAGTACAAAATGAATTCTTTTTCGGCAGAGTTCTTTTTTCCAAAGCGCTGGCAGAGCAGCGAAGAAAGCCCGAAATTTTGCACTTCACTGAATTATTCATGAATGCAATTTTTAGCCACAAATAAAAAATAAGCCAACTCAGACGACTGAGGGGCGCTCCTGGGGGCGTGGCAGCGCGGAACTGCAGCTGCGCCCTGTTGTGCTGCTGTCTACTCAGACGTCGTTGCAATATTTAGTGGAAATTAAAAAACATATAACAAAAGAGTAAGTAGTTGCGCCTGAACTCCCGCGTGAATTATGAATGCTGGTGTCGCGCATATTTTCCCGCTCTGTCGTGTTTAATTTTGTGGAAAAATCGCATTTTTCTGGAATTCTCTAATTTTGATTTCATATCTTTGGAGTACTAATCATTCTTATTAACATAAATAAGAAATGCCCAGCCTTGGCCCAGTTCGATGCCGCTGCGAAAATATATCAATTGCATGGCGCAAAGTATTTCGCCATCGAAACTTTAGTTCGGCAACTTTCACATCGAGCACTTAGATGGGACTTGGCAAACTTTTCGATTTTGCGGCAACTTCAAAATTTGAATTTCAAATCGCTCTGCCCAATGAGACCAACTTGTACTCCCTGGAACAGGCTAACAAATGACTCTGCCGCAGCAAATGCACCACGGATGACTTTCGGAGCCGAAACTTTGCAGGTGTTAAATACATCTGCATTGGCAGCTCCGCAAAAACAGAGAAATCATGCACAGCATAAGTACGTTAAGTTCTGTGGCATCAAACAACCGAGAAGAGCCATTAAAATAATCGCTGCAATAACCGCATTTGGTTGCCTTTGTCTTTCACCTTTTCAGTTTCGGCTTCGGTAGGCGGGTGGCTCGTGGAAATTTGCATGCATAAGTTATGCGAAGTTTGGCTGTGGGACGAGCAGCAAACGTAACATATTGACACAGTAAACTGCTTAGATTGTCAAAGTTCGAGGGCAGCTTTGGGCCCCCACTCGCATTTTCCCCATTTTCCCCGTTTCCCCTGTTTTCCGCATTTTCCACATTTAAGGTGCATTCAAGTTTTCGAGAGTGCCCGCAAACAGTTGGCCAAATCCTAAAGGGATTGCGTTGCACATTTCTGTTCTTGGCCCGCCTGCTCCGCGCGTATTTGGGTGCCAAGCATATGCCTTGAAGTCCTGGCCCAGCCAGCAGCACATGTGAGGAGTGGGCTATGAGGTCCTGTTTCGCTGGCAGAGAGCCTTTCAGTTCCTGTACTTTTGAATGTTTGGCTCCGCGGTTTGTTTTTACTTTCATGCCATGCCACGCCAAGCGGGATATAGTGTCTTTGAGAACGCCGCAGAGAGTGGCAAAGTTTCTCTGGAAAAAGCGACAATTTTCCAACCTTCTGATGTGGTTCGTTTTTCGCATTCACCGGAGAGGAGAGGCTCATGCGCACAGACGCGGGAGAAAAGCCCACTGAGACTCAGTTGGGTTAATAGTGGGACTTTCCCAGTCGGGATGTGGTCTTGGTACTCTGATGCCAACAGGGGAAATAGTGGTAGCTGCTAGCTTGGATGTGTTGGCAGAAAAGTATTACTAAACAAATAAATAGCTTGAAGGTGCAACAATTAGTGACAGTGAAAAATAGTACAAAACAGATAGAAGCAGAGCCTTTCAGTTTATTAAATTAATATACATACATATTAAATTTATTATTTTCTGTGAAGAACTTCGATCAGAGCGGCATAGGTACAAATATAATATGTTAAATTGCCATACTTCGAAGGTAAGATAACCCCGAAAAAGTGTGTTCTAAATTAGCTTTGTGATTTTCGCTTTTCGAAAATCCAAGAAATCCCTATATTTTTTTTGCCCCCACAAAGTCGGTGAATTTTCCACCCCTGAAGGACTGAATCCCGCCGTAACAAGTGCCGTGCCCCAAAAACATCCCCCCGACCAGCGGCAAGTGAGAGCCCTCAGCTAACCTCTCTTGGCGTAGGTCGTAAACAGCTGCAGCTGATGTGGTCGCCAGGATGTTGGTCCTTCGGCTGCAGCATCAGCAACAGCGGCAACAGCAGCAGCAGCAGCAACTCCTGCTCCATCAGGGCTGTCCAGTTTAACGAGCGTCCTGACCAACTGCAGCTTATGTGTTCAGGTTACTTTTCCATGCATCCACACACACAGCGGAGTGGAGGCAAAGATTTATATTTTGTCACACTTAGTTGAAACGACTTTGGCTGCCACTCGTTCTGTGGTCCATTGCAGGTGGCCGCGAGTGGGAGGAGGGTTCTCCTGGATTTCCTTCATTGGTTCCATCGCCCTGCCATCATCATCGTCAAGTATATCGTTGTGCTCGCCGCCGAGGGACTGTAGTCAGCAGCATTTACTTGCGGGTATTAATTTTCTTGCCATTACAGACTCGGTGTGGCACCGTGATGCTGAGCTGGGATCTGAAATTGTCTAGTAATAAATTATTTAAATATTACGCACAGTTTCTCTTTAGGACATCGAGTCCCAATTATATAGATTCCCGCTCCAAAAACATAACAAATTTTACAGCCGCAAGTTTGCTAAAGATATAAACATTAAAATATGAAATATTCAGAGCTGCTGGGTAATTTAATGTTTATTTCGAGATATTTCGGAAAGTTCATGATCACATTGCGCTGAAGTTGAAGTGCACTCCACAATCTCGTGAGTCACTGGAGCATCGCTGGCGCATTTGGACGGAGCAGAAGGCAATGTAATGTGCATTTCGCCTTGGGCACCTTGCACCTGAGTGACCTTAAGCTGCGCCCGTCGCGTCGTGTGGCACTGGTAATGATGGTTTTGGCCAACGCGAATGCGGCTGGTACAGGGCGCACTCTCAAAGTACATTGATACGCGTTCACTCTGCCACTTTTTATTTGCAGCTGCCACTTTTCACGTGCCCCTTTGCCGGCGCACACTTATTTTTTGTGGGTGGAACAGGCAGCACATGACTCAATTATGTTGGATTGACATTTCGCAAAGGTTTTTCATCAATCAAGTGTGCTTTTTCCGATGCTGCTACTGCTGCTTGTTTTGTTGTTTTGGTGCAGCGCGGCGGATACGTAATGGCTAACAGCAATTGCTAACATTGCGCCAGCAATTTATCGTTTCGGGTGCTGGATTGTGCGGGGTGTGTCTGAACAACCTGAGGAAATAATTTCAGCTTTCCATTTTGTTAAATTTATTTACTCTTCGTTGTGGGTTTAATTTCGATTGCATCTGTGGGCCAGGCAATATATGTATACGTGAAATGGAGAAAGCCAAGTGATGTATGGCTAACATTAATGTACCTATTCGGTGTGGGTCTGCACAGGGCTCCCAGGAAACGAGCTGATTGATTTTATTTGCAACATTTGTGAAAATAGCAAGAAAGAGAGTTCAAAAACTTGCACTTGAATTTCTGCCCACGTTGCCTATCAAATTGACAGCAAACAAAGTAATTCAAATGCACATATGGGCTGCTATTTCAAAATAAGAAGACTGTTCTATCTATAATTTTATAACCCGACAAACATTTTGTATTAAAAGGCAGTTTAAGTTTCAGAACGTTTGTTTTTCCGAAATACTTTAATCTTGACCCAGACGGGTTGTTAAATTGATCACGTAAGCCATTAAATTTTCATATTTCCTGCAAATATTTGTTCGCCAAATCCGCGTAACCCTTTCCGGGGAAAACTTTGCACTGACTTCCCCTTTTCCCCACCAGTCATCTGATCCCCAACCGTACATCTTTTCTTGGCCCCAGCAAGCCAATATATTGTAACCTAAACAAACAGAAGAGGGAAACAAACGGAAGGCAAATGCAATCACCTGTAACACAAAACTGAGTACACAAACAAAACAAAAGGTGAGGGAAATATTTATGCCAGACTTTGATGTTGCCAATTGGGCAGGGCAATCGTGGCGAAAGTGGGAAACGAAGGCTAAATGGTGTAAGCGTTTCTTTTAATGCCTTGATTATGCAACAATTGAGCAGAAATATGTAAAAATTAAATGGCAACTCAAGCGGTTTTGGTATCTGCCCTTAGAAAACTTTTCCTCCCCTTTCATTGGCAAATTTTGCTTTTTGTGTTGCTTATTTATGCGTTTTTCTATTTCACTTCACTTGCTTTGGAGGGTACGTGTATAAGGAGTCAGGCAAAGTTTATTGTAGCTGCCTTCGAAATGAAAACTCCGAAGAATTCTGGCAAAGGGAGTGTGATATTGCCGGTGCCGCCCCCCCAAAATGGTCGGCTAAATTTGTTGGCCCATATTTTTTTATCCTGCGATTTCTCCTTTTGTTGCCTTGCACAGAAAAAAATAGCGGAAATTATTCTACTGAAGGTTTGGTATAAGTTTAACACCAGTTTACGCTCTATTCAGATACATTTGAAATTGATTTTGTAAATGCCCAACAAATTTACTTAAAAGACTTATAGCTTGACATAGAATCTAATTGTGATTTAAAGTGCTTGGGAAGGGAATAATTGGCTTATGTATTCTAGCCGTGACATTTGCCAGGAGATTTGTAATTTGAAATGGAAGTTTCTCGCCGTGCTTCTTTTCTTATCCTGTTCTAGCCAGGACATTCACTTGCAGCGGAATCGTCTGAATGGGGGAGAGTACATTTTCCGCACAATATGCAAATAATGCTGACAACAATGACGGAAGTTGGACGACAGGGGATGGGTTATAGACCATTAGCATGGACTGCACTGATATACGAAATGCGGAAGATATTCAGCGAAAATATTGGCCATTGTGCGGTAGTTTTGTGCCGGAGTAATCAGATACGCTCGCGAAATGTGAAGTAAACGTGGACACATAATGCGACCAGCGTAAACGGCTACAATTATGTTATTTAGTTTTCGCATTTCTTTTTAAGTCGAGTGATGCATGTCTTTTGTGTACTTAGGTGGGAGTTTCTTTGCCATATTCAGATGCCTAAGTCTTCCGATTAGAGTGGCTTGTCTCTGGCAGCTTTCTAAAAACAGCTGCAGTGGAGACAAAGGAATCCCATCTTGGTTCTGAGCTATCAACGCTGAATAAGTGTGTCCAACTTAATCGCTTTTCAATTACTTTAACTTAACCACTTAATTTATTCATCGTATTACAGGTGTCCAAACTGGCAGCTCGCCCAATCAGCGTGCAAAATCCCAGCGAGTCCATTTGGCTAAAAACAGGTGAAGAAAAGCATTTTTCAGATCCCCTGCTGGCAGAATCTGTCACACTAAGAGAAACGGATATTTGATATATTACAGCGATGTAGCTCATTATATAAATAATCGGATAATCGATTCAATTGGCAAGGGTTTCCGCAAATATTTATAAAAAAAACTTGTTTTTTTAAAGCTATTTTTCATATTTAGCTATGTTTTTTTAGTATAAGCATATTAATTAATTTATAAAAACATTGATAAACTATCAAGTTGCCCTGACCCAAATTAGAATTCCATTTAGAACTACATTTTACATGGTTTTTATGACAAATTGTGTGATTTGGAATTCAGTTTTTTCTAACCAAATTGTAGAAAGAAGCCGAATAAGGGCTGGCCTATATTTAAACAGATGTTTAAAAGCGACCTCTTTTAAATTCCACTTAAGTGCGATATTTGGCCAGGTGTAACACGCTGGAACCCACCACTTAGCCGTCGACACTCCGCCATTGTGTGCGCCAGAGACTCATCGCTCGCCTCGGCGCCATTAATCCAGGTGAAATGAAAGGTGAGCGATTTTTCCGAAATCCAATTTGTTATAAAAAGGGACAGGAAGCTGAGAGAAAGAGCGAGGAGTCCTGCGGACGGAGGACGTGAGCCCATCCCGTTCTTGATGCCGTTTTCGGTGTGTAACATAGCGGGAAAAAGCGTTTTAAGCGTTTAAACAGCTTCTTGCTCCTCGACCTCTGAGCCGTCAATCGCGTTGACGTTAAGTGCAGTTTCATTCCATTTATTTGTCGAGCTTATCGCAGGCGAGCTTCTAATGTGTCAGTCCTGGGAAAGATCCATTGATTCTGCATAACTCATTGCCAATTATGCAGATGCAGTTCCCCGTCGCTCGTCAGTTTCAGTTTTCCAGCTGGAAAATCAATAAGCCCCCTGCGGGGCGACCGCTCATCAACAAAGGTCGTTAGTTTGATAAACCCTTGGGGCCTCCCATTTTGCACCCAAGAAGAAAGTTGCCAAAGTGTCTCGAGTGCTTTAAACTTCTTCAACCTTCTGGCCGGGCCAAGACGGCGATGATGTTCAGTGCCATTTCCGCGTTTCCTGGTCGACTGGCTCTCAAGTGGCCAAGTTGCCCCGGCTCCGAGCCGCATTAGGCCAGGAGCAGGTGGAAGTTGCCACCTTGTTGAGTCGAGTGTGCGGTTTGTGCGCGCCAAAAAAGGGCAAAGATGGGCAGGAATGAACTGCACTCGAAAAAATTCACGCCTTAGGTAATACACTTGTCCCTAAGAATACTACTATACTTACTTCACCAATTCCCTTGTATTCCCTTTTGTATATATAATATGTATCTAAGACGAAATTGAATGAAGTCTTCTAATTTAGCAAGCTAACTTTGGAAGAATAACTTGGTGACCTAGTTAAAATTATAGCAAGAATATCTTGAAAATAATCTCTTCATCTATTTGTTGTGAAAATAATTATTTTGGTTCTTTTCGGCCCGAATCCAATTTCAAGTGTGAGGCAGAGGCCTGCAGCCACATTTCAAGTACGACCTCTTCGAACGTTCTTCGATAACCTTAATGGCCATTGAGTGTGGCCCTGAACCGCCCGACCGCGCCCCCATTTTCCAGCCGCGAAACCGTTAAATGATTATGAAAATTGTTGGCAGCCAGTGACCTCAGGGGGAGTGGGAAAATTGAATGGTCTGCAGTCGAGCTTTGGCAGCTGCCGCAGGTCACGCCCAAACAGTTTTCAAGTGTTTTACTTTACGGGGAATTTAAGAACTGCCCGGGAGGAAGCATTTGAAAAGGCGCAATGAAAAAGTGCGGAATTATGGCTGCATCATTCAATTGCATTTAGCCACCGTGCCATTTGCATATTCATAACAATTAATCATGAGGTAATTTAATGATTAAATTATTTATTGATACGCTAACGTATCACAAATCATTGGTCGAAAAAATCTGATTGAATGTCTCTTTTTTATTGTGTTTCTATTAATAATTATGTTAATGCAGGGCATTAAAATCAAACTGAGTGCACTTCACGCTGCTTTAAATGTTAAAGCTCATATAGCAGTGTAACTTTCTGTAATGCCGGAGGAAAAAGTGGTTAAGAGTTATAGAATATATAAGCATAAACAATTTATATTTACCACTAAATATAAAAAATAAAATGTCCATAAATATATGCTCAATAATTTAAAATTTATTGGCTTACAAGTTAACTTGAACTCTAACTCTGTGGCTTGACTGTGGGACAGTAAAAAAATTACGATTATAAATTCATAATTAACTTGAAATTGGTTGTGAGCCCTTAGTAAACTTAATCAAGTACTTAAATTAAGCGGGTTAAAATCGATATATTTTTGCTGACGAACGCACACTTGAACACAGGAATATGCAATCAATTTTTATAGCCAACTTTTCCATTAACTTTCATTTCGAATCTATACACGAAAAAAGAAGCAATTTAAAATTCGTCATTGCTTTGGCTCTTCCTGTTGTTGTTCGTTACCAACAGTCATCAATTATGGCCAGCAAGGGATAACCGGGGATAGGCCGACCCGCCTTCGGGTTACGTGCCACGCCCACGCCCTTTTAACCCTCCGCTGGCCCGCTGAAAAAGTGTCACAGGCGGAAGCGTCCAACTAACTAAACTATGCAAATTGGTTATTTTATGGCCGAAACCCTTTTGTTGTTGGTAGTAGGGTAACACGACAACGCGGCAGACAATGCAGCAACAAAAAAGGCGACGGCGCAATAGAATAGTATGGAGTGCACTGGAAAAAAGTTGTACAAAGTCAATGATTATTCCGTGAATATTAATGTTTAGTTCCGTAAAACCTGTAATAAATTTGGAAATTAATGTGTGCATTTATCAAATTGAACTAGTAAATGTATGTATTTGGAGAATTTTGTCAAAGACCGCTTTTTTTTGAGTGTACAGTAATAAGAAAAAAGGGAGCAGGGACATCGCCAACTAATGGCACAATTTCGCCAACTAGCTGGATGCGAGTGCGGATGCGGATATGTGAGGATTCAATGAAATGGAAACTAACAAAATCAAATTGATGGAAAAGGCAGAGCACGGATCGGGCTTTAAAGGACACTGTGATGAAAAGAAATCGGCGCAAATCAAACTGAGCAGCGCAGCAGGAAAATTGGGCCGGCAAAAAGGGAGCAGAACAAAAAAGGTTAGCGGAAGCGCAGCGACAAAAGGGCGGCACCGGAGCTCATCCTCCGCCCATCCCCGCCGGAGGACAACAAAAGATGCTGGGAAAGCCGAAGGAGTTACGACATGGAACAATGCCTCCGCCTCGGCCTTGGACAGGAGCTGAGCGGTGGGAGCTGGCGGGGCATAACTCGTGGCCAGCTTCCGTTCAATTTGAAGCCTGTTTGCTGCCCCAGTAGAAGAAAGCCCAAGCGAAAAACAAAAGCGGAAACGAACAGTTGGCGGCCGATTGGAACAATTGCAGCGGAGGCATCAGCCATCAGCGGAGGTGGAAAAGAAAATTTAAGAAAATAATAAAACGCATAATCAAACTCATCCGAACACGGCACACCCTTTTATTTTACTACAACGATTCAATAACGCCAAACCTTTTTTGTGTGACAAGCAATTTGTATAATTTGGTTGCGTGCAATTTAAAATGATTTTACGTGAATATTGGCCATTCTTTAGCTAACAATTGTCTACAAGGTACAGTTGGCCGCCGCCATACTTGAGCCTGAAATGAACATACCCTCTTGAGCAGTGTATAAGAAAGCGAATCAAGACGCAGCGGTGGCAAAAATTAAACAAACATGGGCGACTGCGGAACCGGCAAAAAAGGAGCTCGGAAAGGGGGAAACTACTTGGCCAACCATTGTTTGAAGTTATTATTGGTGCAGTCAATCGAGTCGGAGTCCGGCAGCGGACCCAATCATCGAACCGACTTGTTATTGCCTTTTCTCCAAGGATATCGCCCGACTGCTGCCTCTCGCTTCTTTATGTAATATTTTGCCTCCTCGATTTTTGTTTGTCTTTCCTTTTGCAGTTGGCATGTGAGCGTATAATTTGTAAAAATTATTTGCCCTGCTGTCGTCCTGGCCACTGCTCCTGCTCCTGCTCCTGCTCCTGATGTCTCTCCGTCCAGCCCTCGCAGCCGGAAGGGCAACAAAAAATATTTTTTTCATCAGTGCATCCGGAGTCGGGACCAAGGAATGGGGCGGGAAGCGTTGCGGTCGCCGCCTCCAGCAAAAAGGGTTTAAATTTTAAATTAAGCTCCTTTATTGCCGGGTCCGAGTGGCTGGCGATGCCTCTTGCGGTGATTGTCCAGCCCTGTAATTGCGTCAAGTGACCCGAAGACCTGGGTTTAATTGGAGCAAAGATGATTTGCAGATCGATGCCTCGAGTGGACCATCGAGCTGGAGATATGTCAGCATAGCACAGCGATTGGTCACTTACTTGGATTGGAACTTGCTGCAGTGGAGAAATGATGAATAAATATTTGTATACTGGGACGAACTGCGTATCACCAAGATTGTAATAGTTAACCATGTAAACTTTTGCTACTCTTGCATGAAAGATATTACATACCTAAATGATAAAGTCTACCATGTTAAAATAAAATCAGTTAATTGCTATGAACCCACATCCAAGTAACTAAACATAGGCGGTTTCAGTATTTTCTTTACTAGCGCCCAGTGAGAGGCAGTCTTTCCTTCCAAGAAATCATATGGCTATCGGGGAAAACGCTGGTCAAATAATTTGGGGGTTTTTAAACTAACTGATGCGACCAGAAGGACCAAGGCGACCAAGGCTGGTCCGCAGCCAATTCATTACGGCACCAGCAGTGACAACATGCTCCCGGCCATTAAGCCAAATCGAACAGACCCGGGACGCACAAAAAGAGCATCCGGACGTCCGACAAGGGGAATCGGGAATGAGAATCGGTAATGGCGTGAACTGAGAGGGACGCCGATTTTAATGCAGCCCACGGACGAGGACGACAGCCCGGAAAATGGGAGTTGGCGGCTAAGCCCGCTAAAGGCCGCAGGAGTGGCCGTAATGAGAGCTGGCACAACGATGACCCTGACCAGCCAAAGGGACTAGCACTGATGAGGCGACAGCCAAAAATCATCAGCGCCCGTTCTTGGTCGAAGACAGCCACTAAGCCGTCTGCATTGAGGACCCGTAATTGGAAATGATGCTCAAGTCCCACTCGAGTGACGAACGAGGCATTAATGCTGGCAAATGCAGCGGCTATTGTTTTACACAGAGAGTAATCATGGGTAATGTCTTCTATATATGGTATACCTCTACGTGCTGTGCTCTCAAGCTGAAATTAAAAGACTATAATTATTTACGGTGCAATCATTAACGTCTTGCCGCTAAGTTAAATGAAGTTGACTACACTTTACCGGGACCAAGAGACTCGGCCAGAAAGCGTAGCTCTGCATTTTCCTGCCCTGAAATGGCATTTCATCTTTTTAATTGAATTTTAATTTGTTTAGAATGCGCTTAGAGTGGACTGCGACTGAATCCGGATCCACTGTCCGCTGTCCACTGTCCGCAGTGGAGTAGTCCGCAGTCTGGAGTGCGGACACGCCCTCACTTAATTTAGCATGCAACCCATCCGGACCCGGACCCGAACCCGGACTTCGCCCGCCTGCACTACATAGTTGTTGTCTGGCAGCTTTTCACAAATCGATTAAATTTAATTTGTTTTCCTTGCCGGCTTTCCGCTGCCAGTCATTCTCGTCCCAGCCTTTCTTTCCTCTTTGGCGGAGCTTAGTTTCTAGCAGTAATTTCATAATGAGTTGACTTTATGCGGCCCAGTCCCAGCTGCAAGGAGAATTTTCGCCCATTGCTGTTGGCAAATAAAACCGTTGGCGCTAACATTAAACGGCTATGAGTGTGGAAACTAACAATGGATGAAACTCTCATTCGGGAAAAAATATGCGAAAAACTCAGGCATAATCTATTAAATCCTTTTCTGATCATAAAAATAATGTTTAATAGTATTGATAAAACATCCTAGAAGAAACTTGGTTAGCCTGAACAGTCTTGTGCATATTACATAAAATTAGTTTTTTCTGCGAAACGCAAGTATAGGCTCATTGAAAATAAATGTGGAAACATTATATATAAAAACCTAAAGAAATTAAAAAATGTACTCAAATTATATTCATTATACCCACCGCCCCAGGCCAAAAAGTATGAGTCGCATATTGTTGTCGTCATTTCGAGGGACTTATAACGAGCTTCGTCCCATGGCTGAAGGGGATTTTCCTCTTCCTTTTTCGTTGGCTGCTTTTATTTGGCCCATGGACAAGTTTTCCCGTTCGCCAGAATACTTACCTACAATTAAAATCCCCCGCAGTTGAAACGTAAAAATAATCATCAACAAAAGTAATACCGGCAACGAAGAATTTATAATTTTTCTTTAAAGAATCACATTTAATAATAATAATAACACCCCCGTTTCGGGAGCCAAATTAATTAAAATGTTTTGTTGTTTATTCTGTGCTTCTTCTTCGCGTTGCTTTGTAATGAGTAAGAGCATTAAAATAATTGAAAAAATTAAGTACATGCTTGGAAGCTGTTTTATTTGGACTATTTCAAAAAAGATGCAACATAATTATTTCGGTCAAAAATAACAGCTTTCAACAGGCTGTAAAAGATTTTTTTTAACGCTCTACGTGGCTATTACTGATAATAAACAAACAATATATGCAGTTTACCTATCCAAATGTTTTTTGTAATATTTTATAAATTTTATATATTGATTTAAAACTGATTACGGACAGACGAACATTGCCAGTTCGACTCGGCTCTTGATCCTGATCAATAATATACATATATACTTTATATGGTCGGAAACGTTTCCTTCTGCCTGTAACAAACTTTTTACAAACATTAAATTTAAAAAATGTCTACATTTTAATGCAAATTTTTTTTAGAGTATTGCGCCAGAAACATTAAGAGATATGCCACTTAAAAATCCGATTAAGATCAGTTGAGTTATGGATTTTAGAACTTCAGCTTTTTTTTTAATTTCTACAAGGTCACACATCAGAAAAATTACAAAAACATTAAATTTAATAAAATGTTATAAATTTAAATGCAGATTTTTAGAGAATTGCGCTGGAAACATTTAGAGGTATAAAATAAGTTGAGTTATGGAGTTTAGATCTTCAGCCTTGGAACATTTCATAATTTTTTGAAACTCTACAATATCGAAACATCAAAAAAATTAAAAAAAAAATTAATTTAATGCAGCATTTTTGAGAAGTTTTTCTTTCTGTTAAATCCCCTTTTAACGAATCTAGTATACCCTTTTACTCTACGAATAACGGGTATGAATACACCTGCAGCTTGTTTACAGAGATTGTAGAATGGTAAGAGCACACATAATATTTTCATGTGAAGTATTTTAATAAATTTTGCCACTTGAATCTGGAAAAACATATTTATAAATGCAAAACTTGTAGCTGTTGGGAGATGTCAGAAGCAAGAGCAGTGGAAAGCATAAGCACCAAAGAATAACAAGAAATTTTAAACGTTCAGCTTGCAACAGGGCGTATGCGCACTTTTTCTTTGTCATTCCCTGCATGTGTGAGGACAGAATTTCCGAGCTGTAAAGATTTTTTAGCAAGCAACTCGCGTATTCGATGAAAATCTTGCGATAAAATGCCAGAGAATTTCCCCTGTTCGCAATGAATACATTTGAATGGCCTTGTTCTTCCTGCCGCTGTTTCAGTTTTCTGCTGCTCATTTGCATGTGGCCTTGCGCAAAATGTTTTTGTCATTACCGTTGAAAGTCAGCTAAGCAGGGAGCACAAAAGGATGCCAAAGACAAAAGGGGAAGCTGCACTCGCATCCGTATCCGCGAGTCGCATTCGGGGATGCATCCGCGAGCATCCGCGAGCATCCGCAAAAATGTCAACAAATTGAATGTAATTCCTTTTAATTTCGGAGCAGTCTTAAAGTCCTTGCAGGACTCTATCTCGCCTCCATTTCGGCCATCTTATCTCCTCCCTCTCCCCGTTTGGCACGTGGCAAGCTGTCGTGAAGCAAATTGCC